CTATTCAATTTAGCCTTTGTTAGCTGTAGAAACATGGCTTTTCACATAACATGATTTACAATGTATGTTCAGGATGTCCATGAAACTGCCGCTGGTGCTTTATGGAATCTTGCTTTCAACCCTGGTAACGCTCTCCGTATAGTGGAGGAAGGAGGAGTTCCTGCTCTTGTTCATCTTTGTTCCTCATCAGTCTCCAAAATGGCACGTTTCATGGCTGCATTAGCCTTGGCATATATGTTTGATGGCAGGTACTTTTTTCTAACCTGGTAGCATAGTATTCTGGTCCTGTACCTCTACTTGATAACTTTGTAGTGCACATGATATATCTTCCCGAATGAAGTTGATCTGTCACGTTATTTCTATTAATATTCACTACAGAGACAACTTTAATTAACCAGGAAGTTTGTTGTGGAATACCAGGACAGATTTCAAGAATCTGAAGAAGCTGTGATGTAGATTTGAAAATATACTACAAAATACTTCTTGATTATGCTGTAATGGAAGTACTTGTCCGGCCCAGAGCTGTGTGACTTTTCATTTAGTTGGTGCACTAGCTCTCAACAAAAAAAGATTTTTTTTTTTTTTTTTGTGTAGATCCTCATATTGGAAGAGTTTTTATTATCTTAACACGACGAAACTGATATGCTGAAACTTCTTGATCTATGTTGCAGGATGGATGAATATGCATTGGTTGGGACTTCATCAGAAAGCACCTCTAAGATTGTGAGCTTAGATGGATCAAGAAGGATGGCTTTGAAGCACATTGAAGCTTTTATCCTTATGTTTTCCGATCGGCAAGCTTTCACTACTGCAGCTGCATCGTCTGCTCCTGCAGCATTAGCAGAAGTGACAGAAGGAGCTCGTATTCAAGAAGCAGGACATCTGAGATGCAGGTCCCACCATCTTCCCTCATATCCAATTCAATTCCACCGCCACAAATATGTAGATGTTCTTGCCTGAAGTTTTATCTTTGAATTTGCTATCCATTCCTCTTTTTATCTTCATTTGATTAATTTGCTTATTTAGACACGTTTACTACATTTATCTCTGCTAATAAGAAATCAGAGGTAGGTACTTTGATATATAAATTGTGTAATGCATGGGAATCACTGCATGCAACTTTCTTTCAAAGAGATGTGGAATGATTATTAGAGAAGAAGTTATATTGCTGGTTCAATATTGTCCATGTGAGCACTAGGCACAGCAAGATACTTTTGTTGGTTAGCTGTTTCAGCAGAAGAGAAGTGGCCACTTGCTTTGTTTTTTTTTTTTTCAGCTGCTCTTTTCGCACTATCGTTATTTGTTTTCTTCTCCCTCTAATTATTTCTCAGTGGAGCTGAAATTGGAAGATTTATCTCCATGTTAAAGAATCCTTCTGTACTCAAGGCATGCGCAGCATTTGCCCTTCTCCAGGTAACTAGCCTCCTACATAAGTTTTGTTGGATGATTACATAAGATATATACAGATAAAACTAAATACAAACTCCAGGGGTATATCCTTGAAGTTAAATCTAGAACTACTTTATCTTAGAGCTGCACACCAAATTTTAATTGCATGAATGTAAATTCAAAGAGAGTTTTCTTTCTCGCGATAACAAATATGGATTAGAATTAAATTATTCTATCCATTTAGATTCCTTTACTGTTGCAAAGACAATAGTCTCTGTCAGAATCCAAGTCAGAATCGAAAAGAAAATTGCATATCTTTTTTTCATTGAGACCTAATTAATAATGTAGATAGATTGTAAGGGAAAGGGTAAAAAATGCATTTTAAAACCATCATTTTCTGAGAAACTCAGATAGAGCTACCGCTCACTGATTCCCCTGGTTCAAAAGAAACATATCCCCATTCAAATCTCGAGGAAGACAAAATTCCCTAATGCTAGGTTTGGGAGAAGGGGTGACGAAAATTGCTAGAGAAAATACACAATTTCAAAATTTCTCCTTCTAACGAAAACTTTTAAATTTTTCTCCATTTTGCATCCAAATTTTCGTTCCCTCCATTTTCCTTCGTATTCAAGCGTAACATAATTGTTTGTGGCATTTCCATATTGCAGTTTACCATTCCCGGTGGCCGCCATGCTTTGCACCATGCGAAACTTATGCAAAATGCCGGAGCTGCTAGAGTTTTGCGTGCAACAGCTGCCGCTGCAACTGCACCACTGGAGGCCAAAATATTTGCGAGAATTGTACTTCGTAATCTGGAGCACCACCAGGCAGAATCTTCAAAGGGGATTTGATGTATTTGGCAAGCCGAACAATTTGTCCATAGCTACAGAATGATGCTCCATGGACTTCGGCTTCTGGACTTCCATTTGTTAGAAGAGCAGATCCGTCAGAGAGATTAGCTGCGCTTTTCATCCAAAGGGCAGGACCGTTATATGTGGTTTTCTTCTTTAATTTTTTATTTCTTTTCCTTGACGTTCTTAAAAGAAAACTGGTGGTGTGTCGGTGTTGTTATTTTCCCCCACCTGTATGCATTGATACAGATCCTAGATAGTCATAGACTGTTTCTTTTTAGACATGGAAGTAGCTGTGCCATGGTTGTTGTGAAAAATGCGGGAGTTTAGTATTGCACAGTGCAACATTTTCCTTAGTGAAGTATTATTCAAAGACAGTTGTTGGCAGTCTCAGACTCTCGATACTAATGGTGGATGCTTGCATGTACACTTTGATTGTTGAGCATTTGATTGGCTGGGAAAAAAGTTGAAGAACAATAGTTTCCGGCGGATTTAGTGACGCTTGAATTTTTTCATGCACAAATTTTTTATGCACTGTAGACTTGAAGAAGTATCTATCAGCTCCTTTTAGCATCGACAGTAGATGCACTCTTGGACATGTAAGCATTCATGAACCACCTGGTTAACATGACCAAGACCAATTAATATACCTGGCCGGATATTACATTCTTATTGAACTCCTCGTTCTTGGGAAGCTCTTCGCATTGGTTTATGGTTGCTGTCTCAAATCAGAATGAGAGAAGGTTTGGTTTTGCCGTGCATGTTCAGGTGTGAAAGATGAGGCCAGGCAGGGTCCTTGACATGCTTTTCTTTCTCACTGGAATTGATACAACCCAAAGTCTTCCGTGGCAAGAACCGAGGGAGACTATTAAATCACTGAAAACAAGAAACGTATGCCACAATTAGGCATTACCACCAAGTGAAATTGATGAAGGGGCATAATTGAATTTTGAGAAAATTTCATAAACCTCAAGTGGTGCATTTTTCTCATAGTACCTCAAAGAGTGGGGTTTGTCACAAAGAACCATTAAAAAGTTGGTGCATTCAACTCAATTGACCCCTTATTTCACCAACATAAACAAATCTTTACCGGATGACAATCAGGTGCATTCACATGTTGTATTTCGCACCACGGACGAGGGTCTCTTTGCTCGAAAATGTTTGATATCCCTAAATTTCCCGATTAAACTAAACCTCAATCCCCGAATTTCTCAATTAAACTAAACTCAATGTCAATCCTTTCTTTGTTCAGAGAGAAGGTGATTGCAACTTGTTGAAGCAACATGTTGACAAGGCGGTTGCAGGCTATGGAATGTGGGACCAAAGACGGTGATTGTATGAGAAAAATAGTATAATTTTAGTATTGCTTTGGCTTGTTTGCCTAGCCATTTGATGATGAGTATGCGATACGTGTTCAGCGTAATTGAACTTTCAGCATTTTAAGTTAAGAAAAGGTCACGAAAAATCCAAATTATGCCAACTGTAACATATTTATCTAAATCTTTTTTTTTGTTATATAAAAAACCTCAAATTATATCTACTGTGACACATTTACCTTGAACTTAACCCAAAACTTGTACCTATGGTACACATTTACCCTCTGTTAAGGTTTAGTCAGCTAATTTTTCAAACAAAACGCCTTTTTTATTTTTATTTAAGTCACATGGGCGCCGTGTTAACACCATTTGCTTTCCGATGTTTATGTAGGCGGGTTTTTAACGGTGTTTATTGACAAAACCTTGACGGAGGATAAATGTGTTATACAGGTATAAGTTTAGGATTTTTTGTGTTACGGAGAAATATTTAGGGTAAATGTATCACACTATTCATTTAAGGTTTTTGGCGGTTTTTTCTTTCAACTAGATAGTACAATGAAATGCTAAATAAAAGGGAAGACACCTGAAAATACTAAAACCAGAATTATGCTGCTACATTAGTTTTTTCTTCATTCCATAAACAAAGTCGGTTTTATAAACCCTTCCAGCTTCAATTCTTGTCAAATCTAACTTTGTTTTTGTCCCTTTTTGCTGTCTTTCACATCACCGACCATGTCACAAATTGTTGTCGGAACTTCTTGAGCTAAACTCGTCAACTCATCACATGAGTTTTGATTCGAGCTTACTTTTAGGCAAGGTCGGACTCGTAAAAAGCAATAAACATCTGCAAGGGCACTTTGACAAGATGACCAAAACAAGATGGCATTGAGACCCTTGCTTTTATGCATCGCTTAATGGCATGTTTAGATTTCTGGAAACTTGGAGAGTAAGCAGAACTGGATATGAAAGAGGATTTGTTGGTTATGGTTAAGTCAAAACTTTTATATGGAACCTCAGAAGATCTTTCTTAATCTATCTTCAAAGTCTCTGCATGGCAAGGGCCAAGGCTTCCCTTAGGACAGACATCAGAAGGTTATTTTGCAAAATGTCATAGCACCATTATCCCATAGAGTGAAGTAAAAGAAGGCAGTCAGGTTTGATTTAAGCTTTTGCCTAGAAAAATCTTACAGATTCCATTTGGCTATGAAATAGCAGTACCAAAAATGCATACACTGAAAGGTGATGGCAAGAGCAAGGGCACCCGGTATTTTTATAATGATGCCTTCTTTATACTCGAAGGATTTACACCAGCGGATTATCAACTTGGTAAACTTCGGAAACTCTATTAGTATCCCCATATTGTGTCACTCGATGAGGTTTCCTACTACCAAGATTTTGTGTCTAGTGGCTCAAACCTAAATATAATACCTGAATATTCTCGGCATCATTTAAGAGCAAGACTCAATAACTGATGCTAGAATGTCCTAGCTATCCAACATAAAGGGATTACATCAGAAAATTTTCGCGAAAGCCTCCACGGAAGAGTGTTATTTTTGTGTGTATATCACAACAATCAAGTCAATCCAGCGAGTAACGTCACCAAGTTACACAAGACCGAACATAAAGTGCCATATCACCTACATATATTTAATATCCCTCTTGCTAAAGAAAGATCATTTCTTTTCTTCTTCCCTGTTCCTGCACAAACTATGAATCCTTCACTAGTCCTCACATCCCAACAGTGATTGATCCTCAAAGTCAAGCAGCCAAACCATTTTTTGATGCTGATTCTGAATCTTTGTGGTCCAACTATAACAATCCGTTTATGTTGCCACATTGTCTGTTGAAGCTTCATTCTCTGAGTAAGGGTCTATGTACTTTTTCATGTCACCCAGAGAGAAGTGGAAATGTGCCTGAAACGTTAACGAATTTGACTTTTCCAGCTTCATCCAGGGTTTTTAATCCTATCCAGTCTCCAGTGCAAGGTGATTAACTCTACTTCTATCTTATTCTTTTTATAAAATACTTTGAACCCGACCTGGACCTGCTCGAATTAGTTGGCTAACGGGACTAGACTGACTTCACTGTAGGCCTCGATTAATTATCCACACCATCCAGATGAATTGAAATTAGGCCCTAGCCAACTCCATCCTGTGTGGCTTTGATCTGCCATTACTCAATAGTCTCCTCAGTTTCGATAGTCCTCTGTTATGCTCAAGTTGTGAGCAAATTCCACACCCTAAAGACCTCTGTGCTTTCATGAACAGCTTTTGTGGTTTCCGCGAACAAGTTCTCGATACATCTGGTCTCTCCTGGGCTTCTCAGGCCTACCATGTAGTCTCTTCTTAAAAAATGGAAGTAGACTGTACGCCAATTTTATGCCACAATGCTTGCCTATCTTTGGACTAATCATTGGTTCATACACTCTCAAAAATCAACCTTTATTGTGACAACCCAACATGTCGAATCATGTCCCTTGCATGCAATTGTAGAAAAGTTACATGCGCACAAGAAATACTGCTCAACTCCTACCTTCTGACAGAACGAGTATACTCTTTCGAGTGCATAATAAATTTGCTACCTCCCACATTGTCTCATTCAGTATGATGACTTGGCTTTGATTTGCTCCATTGTTTTTTTGCCATCTGGAAATGTCTCCACCAAATCCTCTCGTCAGTCCTCTTTTGTACTGCATTCTCTTCATAAAGTATATCACTTAATTTCAAGAATTCCTTTAAATAGGAAATTAAAGATGGATTAGTTCGAATCACGAGTATATTGAGTAAAATCCAACCATAACCATCTTGACTTAGCCAGGCCATCAGTATAAAGTAGGCAATCTTTACATGTTGAAGAACTACTTTGATATTCTAAATTAGACCCATAACAAACAACAAAGCTTTTACACACTAGGTGGGGTCAGCTAACTTGATATTCTAAATCGATAACTTTTTTGGAGTATGCGAAAATTGATTTTCTTTTCCTATGTTTAGATGAGCCGTTATAAAAATAAGGAAATGATCTTCTCAATATGATCAAGTCTTACGGCAAAAAAGGAAAGTTATTATGAACAAGACTATGACTACAATGGTAACGGTGACAATTTATCATGTCTGTTTACATTGAACTACAGCTGAGGAAATATCATTATTCGTCACGGTGTCAATCAAGATCCAACATCAAGATCAAAGAAGATAAGCAACACACACACACACACGCACACATACACAAAAGAAACAGTTTGTATTATGTGTAAAAACCAGCATCTAATCCAAATAAATGTGCTTGTCTGAGAATATGCAACAATAAGGCCCCCACTAAGGTGCTCACCATCTTTTCCATCAAAACATACCTCCTAGCAACAATACCATAATTTCTGGTCAATAAACTCTAAGAATATGCAATACTAATTCTCTATTGATCAAATTGCAGACATGTTCTTCTGGATCCTGCTATTCCCGCAATGGCTGCACTTCAATGAGCATAATTACTTAGCAGGTACTATTTTAACCCCTTCTAAAATCGCAGAAAATGGATCAATTACTACTTTTAAAACTGATATCTCAAGGTATGAAATGAGATATTTTATCATGTACCTCAAGCAAATAGTTATTCCTTCCTTTCTTTTGCATGGCACATGGTCAAGGAACCTTGCAGACGAGTTAAAAAAAACAAGTACCACTTACCACAGGAAATTCAGACCATGCTTAAAGCTTCATCTTTCATCCATGACTTGAGGCCTTTATCCAGAGGACAAGAATCCATGGTGTTCCAGTAATCTGGTGAAGGTGAAATATAGATGCTGACTATGAATCTGTAAAGGAAAAAAAAATCACGTTAAGTAAGAAAATATAGCCGAGTGGAACCAAAGACCACAGAAGCTTCCATAGGCCTAAAACTCATGATCTTTTGTCCATTACTATGTCCAAAAAGAATATAGCAGCAAATACACAATATTGGTACCTTTTGACTGCTATGACTAAGCAACACTGACGATGGAAATTGCAGCACTAATGGAAAGGGCCCTTTTATTAGGCATGGTGGTTAGAAAAAAGCCAATAACAGGGATCAAATCTCAATATACCCTCGAAATTAATCTGGACAGAAAGCAGTAGACTAAACAGCATAGCATCTCCACACAACCTAATTCTGTCCAGATCTGCCAACTGCAATAAAGATTGCCACATTTTGCAGAGAGTATAACTGATAGTTCTAATTGAATAAAAAGACACAAAATAGAGCAGTAAGAGCTGCTCTTAGAGTAATCCCGAGGGGAAAGGCAATTGGTTTGTCTGCCTACTAGGGTACCTAACCTAAGAGAGGAAGGAAGGTAAAGAAAGCCACATTCAATCCTTACCTTGACGGACTGACCAATATGGAGATTTATCAACAGAGCCACTGGAGAGACTCAACCATGACGAGTGGAAATTCTTTTCACTGTCCAATTTGTGATGAAGTGCCAAGTGTAACCCCATTAATCATCCTGCACAGAGCATTGCTATCAATATAGTGCTTGGTCAATGACTTGTCCCCTCATATGCTTAAATAATTGACCCAATGTTGAATGGATAATCTCATAATGTGGGTGTAATCTGTTTCCAGCCAAAAACTCACTCATTCTCCCATCAATCTCAATAACACTGCAACCAGTTTCCTTATTTGCTCCATTTGTACTCATCAACCTCTTAATCTCCTGTGCATCAGTCCATCTCTTCTCCGCTGCATATAGGTTTCTCAACATAATATAGTTCCCATCATTTTGCGGCTCCATATTGACTGTTCTCCTTCTAATCCTCTCTGCCCTCATCACATCCTTGAAGTATCCACAAGCAAATAAGAAGGAGCTCAATATTATTGCATTAGGCTCATAGGGCATGCTCTTGATTATCTGTTCAGCTTCTTCCAAATATCCTGCTCTACCTAATAGATCTACCATACAACCATAGTGCTCAATTTGAGGGGCAAGCCCAAACTCATCCATTGCTTTAAACCACTTCTTCCCTTCCTTCACCAAACCAGCGTGGTTACATGCAGATAGCACACCAACCATGGTTATATCATTTGGTGGGACACCTTGCTGTTGCATCTCCAGGAATATTTCCAATGCTTCTTTGCCACACCCATTGACTGCAAGCCCATTTATCAAAGCATTCCAAGAAGCTACCTGTCTTTCATGCAACATATTAAACACTCTCTTGGCTTTACCGATCTCACCACATTTAGCAAACATATCCACAAGTGCTGTACCCACATTGGTTGCTCGGTCAAGCTTCTTTTTCTGTGCAAACCGATAAACCTGATTGCCTAAATCTAGAGCACCCAGATCAGCTATAGCCGGAAGAACGCACACAAGAGTGACTTCATCAGGCTCAACCAATGCAGTTGACTGCATCTCAGAAAACAATCTCAAAGCTTCATGGGGCTGTTTATTTTGGCAATATCCATTTATTATCACATTCCAAGAAAATAGATTCTTTTCTGGCATGACATCAAAGAGTGAGCGAGCAGATTTTATGTCGCCAACATTGCAATACCCATTGATCATCGTAGTCCAAGAAACCACATTCCACTCCGGCATCTCGTTAAACAAATCGTTGGCTGGGTCCATATCTCCCAACTTAACATAGCCATCAATCATTAAGTTGAATGCTGCAGAGTCCTTCTCAGGCATTTCCTCGAACAACTTCCTCGCATTTCCCATATCCCCACTCCTCGCGTAACCACCTATCAGAGCCGTCCACGACACCAGGCTCCTCACACTCATGTCGTCAAACACCATCCTCGCAGCTTCCACGCTCCCCCATTTCGCATACAAATCGACGAACGCCGTGGACACGTACAAGTCGGACCAGAACCCCATCTTAACAACATGGCACTGCACCTGCAGCCCTTCCCAACAGGACACGGCCGACGAGCCACACTTCGCCAGCGCCGTGAACGTGAAGTTATCGGGTGAAAAGCCGGCGTCCCTCCGGAGATCTCGGTAAAGGGCGAGTGCTTCGCCGAACCGGCGCAGACCCACGTGGGCCTTGATCACGGCGTTGCAGAGGAACCCATCGTCTCTGTGGGGACTTCCGTCGAACACGAGGCGGGCGTGGCGTAACCCGGCGAGCGGGTCGGCACCGGAGGCGACGGAGGCGCAGCTGGCGACGAGCTTGGTGACGAGATTGACGTTGAGGTCGAGAGCGTGGCGGAGCATGAAGGCGTGGATCTGGAGGAGGGCGGGTCTCGAGCTCCTGGCCCGTTGGAGGAGGTGGAGGCATCTTCGTTCCAGGGGAGTCCAAACGACGGACTTCAACTGCTCCATGGACAACTCACGGAGGTGTCGAAGTTAGAAGCATCGAGCAAACAAAAGAACCATCAAATTTCGACTATTTAAGCAAAATTACAATATTACCAAATAATTGCTGGTGTTCGACCAAAATAATAATAATAATAATTACTGGTGACAACGTTTTCAAATATCGAAGTATAATGCTATGTTGCAATTTCCTATCGAAATTACTTCTCGCGAAGGTCGTCGTTTCGTAATTTCCATTTAATTGCAAATGTTTTTTTTTTGTGAGATAGCAAATTGCTTTTCAGCAATTTGGTAATTTTCTATCGTAATTTTCTTGTTATTGTTGTATTCACCTCACGCAAGGTAGAACATTACTTGTATGATATTTGCAAGGAGTAATTTACCTTCAAAGTAGTAACATTTCTTAAGATGAAGTTATTTATCTGATAAGAAGTAATTCGAAGCAGTAATTTAATTTATAATATGTGATTCATCTTTAATGTAGTAATTTCCCATGTAATTAATAAGTAGACTGAGGGCTAATTCTTAATGATTGTAATTATACTTATTCTCGGTAAATTGGTTACAAAACGATGTTCGTAAATTTAGTTTCGACATCATAAATTATCTTTAGATTTGTAAATATTTGTAAATGTGAAATTATCTTACAGATCATATATTACCTTTTGAGTGCATAAATTACTTACAATCGGCATCTATTACAAGTCAAAACCAGTCATTTTAGCACAACGAATGCGGCCTTTGTATCTTTCATATGTGACCCTAGAAGCGCAGGCTCATTCGGTGTGCGCTCGATGTATTCAAGTCGTTGTGATTCTAAGGGAGAAATTGTCCACCAATTTTTTCCGTTCTTCCTCACCTTGGACAACCTTAAAACTTAATTGATCTCTTTTAAACTCTTTATTTGTATTTCCCTCAGAGATTGTTGCACTGCATTAGTCAATTTGAGATTGAACATGGCGGATCTATACGTGGAAGAGTTGCGATAGAAACTTCATGAACCGATTGTAATCCTGCTTGGTGATTCTTGTGTTGCCATCAGAATGGGGTATGCAAGTCCTTTTCATTTTTTATCAACTTTCATGACGTCCATTTTGAAAACTTCTCAGTGAAAAGTGCTGCAAAGTCAGGGATGTAGATCCTTCATGGGGATCGACCGAACAAGGTCAAGTTGGGTGGATTTTTTCTGTTTGTCTGTGCGCCAAAATAGATAGAAAATACCAATCTAGGTTTATATTCAAAGAAACATACTGGTAATATTTCTGTTGTTGCTAATTATCAGTCAATAGGTGGCTGGATAAGTTAGAAAAAGGAGCGATCACTGAACCTCGAGTTAAGAATAGCTTCGATATCAAAAGTGTAATCCAACTCGACTTAAAGGAGAGGCTGCATGGTTTGAAGCTCGACTATAAGGAAAAGGGGAAAAAATGTCCAACCAGACGGGTACATTCCGTTACCATTTGACTTTCTCCCATGACATGAGACTCAAACTCGATTTAAGTCCGAGGTACCTTATCCCATGGAACAGGAAAGACATGAGCTGAAACCTAAATAGATGGCCTTAAAGATGACATTGTTTGTTTGCACTTTTAGTTACACTGAGGTAGTTCTCAATCATACTCGGAATTACTCTTTAGTTTTAGCCAAGTAAAAGCTATATGCCTGTGACTGGGCAACAAGAGTGAGAATAACTGGGTAAGTGCAGTGAACAGAGGCACAAACAAGCAGCCCTCAACTCTGTCTAAGCAAAATGCTGTACAAGTCATGATGCCACACCGTAACATTCATGAAATTAGATGCTCACATCCAACTTTTCAATTATCGCAAAATGCATCTCTAGATTTGGGGGCCTGTCAGCAAAATAAAATTTCTCTGCTACCTGTATTTTGCCTCCGGCCTTCTGAGATTCAGATTTGAGCAGATGAAGCAGTCTATCCTTTTCGCGGCGAATCCAAATGCGATTATGGTCGCACCATTGCCTAGGAGTTCCATGGAGGACAAAATGCAACACCTGAGATCGTTGTATGAACTGTTGGGAGAGTCTGCCAATCACATTTGGATCAGTGATGTATGCGCCAGAGGAATTTAGGCCAACATCAACATAATGAATTTCTTGGATGCTGTTCAGAAATCTTTCTTTTGAAGTAGGTAAAACTTGAATCCCCGCCCGGATGTCGGACACTTCATGACCCAATAGCTCTTGTTCAGCAGAGGATAAATGTCCAGAAGACGCTGGTTGGGAATGGCTGAGCTCGGTCACAAGCTGGTTAAGCACGGTGCCACCTTTGCTAAAACCGAGGACGACGGTTTTCGGCTCATGTCCCTGTGGTGGTAATGAGCTTGTGGAGACAGGATTACTTTTCCTTGAAAGGACATTCTTTGCCTGAAATGCCCGACTAATTAGCATGAGATAACCATCGTACCAGAAAAGACTTTCGAGTTTAAAAAAAGACCTAAAAAACATGGATTTTAGATGGCTAAAAGGAGCTGCCATATTCTTAAGTTGCAAAATGAGGACGCTTCCAATTGTAACCCGACTTCATTCGTCCTTATTTTTCAATAAATGCTATTCAGGTTATATTCTTCAAGCCTTTTTGTATTTGGTGCTCAGATCCTATCATGCCATATACGTTTCCAAATTCAGGTGTCAATGTAGAAGGAAGTTCAGTGACAGACACCATTTCCCAAGATGCTTCATGTATCCATATTCCTCATTCGCTCAAGCGATAACTAACCACTCTAGGAAGTAACAGAAAACACTGAATATGAGTGAAAGAGAATGTAGCAGAGAGCACATATCATATGACTCCACGTCCCATGTACAATGATTTCCTTTGAAAATTAGCAATTCTCCTCATTTTTCATGGTACAGTCATTCTCCTTACTTTTGGGCAGTTTACCATGTCTTTTTTTTTCTTTTCTTTTTTTCCTTCTAATTTTCCAATTTTTCTCTGTAATTTGTAGCCATGATCAAATGAATATCCTTGCAAGAAACTGGTTCCTCAACTTCTGTCCATGTTCCAAGGTCATGCATAAGCACAACACTCCCTATGACAAGATTCAGAATCACACGTCAGATCAAGGTTGCTTCACCAAAGATACCCGCAAAAACACAACTTCTCTGTTTTCAAATATGCCCATTTCCAAGATGCAATAGTACACCAGGAATTTACCTCCTCCAGGCAATTCGACAACAGCGAGAGCGTCGACGAAGACGCGGGGAACCCGACGTGGCTATACGATCTCGGCTCCCCGTACTTGTTCGCCGAAGGCACGAACTCCTTGTAGACAGCGAAAGGGCCGTTGAAGGTGGGAGCCTCCACGACCCAAGCGTTGACGGAGCCGCCGAACTTGGACACCAGGACCTCCGCTATCGCCTGCGGGTCCGACAACCTCTCCACGACGGGGTTCCCGGTCCCTCCGACTCGATCCCCACTGAAGAAGACGGCGTTCGCGGACGGCGCCTGTCCCCCCATCACGGCGTGAAACACGGAGCAAAAATCAAGCAGAGCGCGACTAGGGTTTGCAGCGGGTGGGGAGCAAAGGGATGGGGGAAGGGGCCGTACGATTAGGGTTTTGGAAGGAGGAGAGATGCAGAGAGAAACCGCGACTCTGCAGCAGCGCGCGGCGCCATTGGCGTGGACGGGGACCTTCAGAGTAGCGCTCCATCGCTCCATGAGCAGCGAGCACCCGGCGGCCAAAGCTATCCCCTCTCTCTCTCTCTCTCTCTCTCAATGTATAAATCTCATTGTGTAGGAAGAAATTACCAATTGGATTCTGTCCAAAAATGCATGATCAATTGTACTTTCTGCTAATTAAACAAGGGATAAGTGTACCGACAATCCTAAAACTTATTATGAAAGCATAATTGAAATATAAAATTTTCAGCAAGTGTAATCGAGTCCCAAAACTTATCGCGTAAGTGCAATCGAATCATGAAACATGTTATAATAGTGTAATCGAATTTTCAAACTTTCCGAAAGTGCAATCAACTGAGGAACTTGATTGGACAAATTTGATAAGTTTTAAGATTTGATTACACTTTTTTTGAAAATTTTAGGACTCAATTATACTTTCGCGATAAGTTTTAGAATTTTCGGTACTCTATTGAACAAAATTGTTAATTTGTTTATTCTATTTTGGCCATAAAAATAACAAATTCTGTCTTTTCGAAATGAAAAATCGCTCCTTTTTTCATAAGCACTCCAAAAAGAGGAAAAAACAGGTCAAGATAGTAGTGGGACAAAAAACAATTCGGAAAAATTCAGGAAAAATCTTAAACTATGCCCCCCTTGAACAGGTTTACTTCAAAATTTCCAATGCACCTTAGAGGCTCCGTTTAGTTCAGCTTTTTCAGGGGCTTGGGCTTTGGGGTTGCGACCTTGACGACCGGCCTCGCTTTGGCTTCTTTGAGCTCCATCGACCTTCATCGCTTGGTGCTTTTTGCTGAGCTTCGATGAGGGTTGCGACCAGATCTGCGGCAAAGAGGGTCGCCGGTCACCGCTCACCTGGCCGACGGCCGCCTCTGGCCACTGCTGTCGAGGCTCGACGGTTGCCCAAAACTCCATGCCTTCTTTGCCAGCACTTGCCGACGTCTGCCCTCTCTTTTTTCTTTTTTCTTTTTTATTTTTTATTTCAAAGTTGCTTTACGTAGAATAAACATTTACCAAACGATGTTTGCTTTTAGCAAATCCACCTTCGGTCGAGGATCCTTGGGGAAATGGCTTTGCATCCCTCCAAAGTTGAATTAAACGCATCCAAAAACTTTTGAACTGGTACACTTAAAACAAATTTACTTACGACTACTGAGGTAATTAAAATTAAGATTATTCCATCAAAATTTCTTGTTTTGTCTTTGAAATTGTCTTTTCCCAAGTGGTCCTTTTTGAGAATAAGAAATTCTAAACTTGTCCTGACTTTCTTAAATCTTTTCAATCTAGTCCCTAAGGAAACTTCTTTCTATTGATTGCATTATAACTGTTTGAAATGGAGGATACCAATCCAGATGTGAAA